TACGAGACTCACTGGTAAGCTGAACGATGAAAAGGAATTAGGAAGATCATGGAAGTGGGAGAAATTTCAGGGGAACCTGGTAATTGCGTCGTCTTTCGTTTGGCGTTAAATTGTATGCACGGAAGTAGTTTTTACATAATCCTGGTTTGGTAAAAAAAAGGGGGGGGTTCTCTGTTCTACTTGAATAAAACAAGGAAACACGGTGGCAATAGAAAATACCTGAAATGAACTGGGTATAGGGAGTAGTTCCACATCAAAATATGTCTTGGTTCAGCTTGCCTCAACCTAACAGCCCACGTTGTCGGACGCAGAGTGACAAATCGAAACAGACAGGAACATTTTAGGCAATGACAAAGGAGACTAGAATGGCCATTTCTGTCTCATTAACCGTCATTCGCCCGTTATACGCAACCACGGGTGGTGCGCCACTCGAGGCTCGAACCCGCAACCTGTTGATAACAAGTCCAACGCTCTAACCACAGGGCAACAGGTTCGTTGTCTTGCCGGTTTAGATTGGAAACATTGACATTCGTTGATGAACGCTCACAGATCGCATGCGTGACTCGCTGCTCCCGTTCTGCATTGGGGCTCACTCTTGTGCTTCAAATGCTGCACAACCTAGAGGTTGGGTATGACTGGCTGATGACGGCTAATAAGCCAGAAATGACCGGCAAAGTCCACCTGACTACAGTACTAGCTGCTGTACGGTTGATGGCAGGGTTTCATAGTGAGCCCCAAGGTAGAACAGGACGAGTGAGTTGCGTTAGCGTTGCGTTAGCGTTGCGGTGAGCGTTCAATAATGAAGAGACAAAAATGTGCGTGCGGGCAAAGTACAAAACAAGTGTCTCAAAGTAACAGGCCGTCGTCGAACGTACAGAATGGAAAATTGAGATGGACGACAATGTGCGTGTAGGCAAAGTACACAAGATATTATCGACTGAGAGGGGGCTAAAGTTTTGAAATAGGTCGACCTTGTTAAATAACAAAAATTACGAAACACAAAAAATAGACTGCTTGTAAGCTGGCGATACCACTATACAATTACAGAAAACAGGCTGAGGATTTCCAAAGGACACTGACGAACTCAAAAAGGGTCTTACGGTACGGGAAAAATAATTTTCCAGAAATACACTTTATGCTGAGAGGTCACCTCGAAAGCAACAGCTGCAAGTCGGATCACCATGAAAACTAGGCTCTTGTTTTACTAGGAAGGACGAGCAGAACTCAAGGTGTCAAAGAAGGCAAGTGCACAGAAAGTGCATTCATTATCCCGACGCGGTACCAGCGGTTTCCTCTTCTTAGTCTTAAACTACCTTGCTCTGACCCGCCTAGCATCACTTCTTGCATCCAATACAGCTAGCGGTGCTATTTCGTAGAATAAAATTTTGCAACCCTGTGTTTCAACACAGAAAATACACTCAGTGCAGCTGGGACGTTAGCCAAACCTTCCGAGGGAGAGAAAGCTAGAAGCCGGGCAGAAATTGGCACACAAAAGTACGACGCTCGTCGATATATTCTGATGATAGGACAGAATACCGATATTCTGCTTGGCCTTGGGATTCGAGCTATGATTACTGATTGCTGCTCTCTATGCAACCGACTGTGCGGACCCTTGGTCAGGATAGACGTTATTCTCCTGCACTCATCCGAATACATTGCTGAATGTTTCTTCCGCGTACTGAGCATTTCTGATCTCAGCTAGACAGGCATTAGTCCATGGTCAGGGAGTACAGCGTTCGATCGGTAGTGGTCAGTCGATTAGTGGCTATCACAACTCAGGACCGAACTTCGAGTCCTCTCAGTCAGAGACTAGGAACCCGGGCGGTTGGTGAATATAAAAATGTCAGCAATTGTCATTTCTTTGTTTTACTTGGCCTATAAAACCAGGACTTCATCTATTTTCTCAGATCGCAAGAGGTATAGAGGTAACTTGGCATTGAATTTGCAGGAGCGTTTAAGGCACTTATGATTGAACCGTGGATTGTAATAAAGGTATGACAGTTTAATACAAGTTTAGCAGGCCTCTATAATTTCTGCGCCCACTGTATCACCTATATGGAAGGGAATCTCCATGGTTAACTTATAGTTTAATTTTTATACAATCTTTCGAAGGTGCTAGATATTATCGACTTAGCCTAGTCGCAAAAAAAATTTGCTAAAATTTGCCGTACACAGTACATGGTAGGATTTGTTTCTATGCATCGAAATTACTTATATGCCTGAAGCAATACCAACCATCGCTTGATACTGAACAGTTCAAAATTAGCAAAGTCCCTGGCCAGATGAAGGCGGGTTACCCGGGAATGGAGGGTTACCCGTTAGCCAAGCT